TTAGATATCTAGTTTGTGGATAATGATGGATAATATATCAACATCAACTTGGAGCATTGAATAAGTGTTTCACCCTTGTACACGGGATTTACTAACAGCACATATCAGCGACCTCGGTGGAGTTTGAACACAGGATATTCAAATCTCTCGACGAAATGATAGTGATGCACATACACATTCAGAGAACTGTGGCTCATGGGTTTGAATTTGATATGATTCTAAGTGTATGTGTATCCATCCACAGTAGTTAAAGTAGACCATACTACGAAATTTAGCAATCTATAGACTATTTATACTACTCTCAATTGACTAATATAGTATCTAAGATATTAGCTTCAATATTACTTCGACGCCTAACCAAAGCTCGTGAAGAGCAGACTAGAGAAAACCAGGCTGATTTTCAACGGGTACTTGGTAAGGATGGCAAATCAATTGATGAAGTAGTGAAACTTAATCAGTTGAGATGGCTGGGACATATGTTACGTATGCCCAACCACCGACTGCCCCGACGTGCGGTGTTTTATAGTGTAGGAGTAGGTTGGAAGAAAGCTAGAGGCGGCCAGATCAAAACATGGCACAAATCCATGAAGTCACTGACAAGTGTACTGAGCCATGTTGGTAGGTGTAGACTACTTGTTTGGGGTCCGCGAGACAATAGCAACCAATGGTTAAAGACCCTGAATGACATGGCTGAAAATCGTTTGCAATGGCGCGGGTGCATCCACTCTTTGTGTTCTCTCAAACTCTAATCTCCTGAATTTTTCATGTCCTTTATTTTCTTTCCAAATCTAATCCACTGGATTATACTCCTTGAATTTATTTATTTATTTTAACACATAAGTATAGGTACAGGGAGGCACCAAATACATATGCGCCACACAAATCTCATTTGATTTGTGTGAGGGCTGTGATACTGCCCGGGTGCCCAAACCGAAGCAGGTGGTTTTCTTAGGGGGCCACACCCCGAGCCTTTGACCTGAACGTCTGACCCACAAAGCAGTGGAGCATCGTGAGGAGATGCAGTCCCATGGTAGCCGGTGACCAACGATTGGTTCATACGCCATTGGTTCCTTCAGGATACTGGAACCAGCCCATGTGCACCATTGGTTTGGGGTCCGGTTAAAGCGCCAGACATTCGCTTTTCGTCCTCTCATTTTCGTAAACAACACCCCCGCCACGAGAAGGCAGTGAGTAGGACTTCCCTGGCAGAGGCTATATACGCGTGGTCATGTGAGAGCATTTCGAGAGGGGGAGCGGACTCTCCCCACTCTCGGCCGTACCAGGGCATTTGGGGGCATACTCCTTGAATACCATTATCAAAACCTAATATTCCCTATCACTACTTATACTTTCAGTACCTCTACTACTACGGGATTTGAATCGATAACTGAATCTCTATGCTAATATGGTATGGCAACTCGAACTGATGTACGTACGTACGAAGTTCCATGTTGTTACTGATTGACTTTCATTTGTACAGTCATTAGTTATTAAACATATGATATGCGTAATCATAATGTGAAATGTGTCATTCAACTGTATTCCTAATCATACAATTTCGTCATAGTGATTGATCGGTCATTAGGCTTACAAAATTCACTAGACGAACGGTGAATGTTTTCCATGACAGTTTATTTCACGTTTGGTTTGTCAATGGATACGGTATATACTACGGAGGACATACTTTTATGTTATCATTATTACAAATCATGAAAACTACTATACGAAACTATAGTATAATTATTACTAGTTGTTACTGTTTGGTCATATCGGATAATATTTTAAACATATAAGTTACACAAGATAGGAAATTCTGACGAATTCATGGTTGCGGATTTAAAATAACTACTCTTTACTTCATCAATCCATTCAGTCCCACAGTCACCAAATAATAATAATAAGCATGCGGATCATTAAGATGATGTATGTAAGACATGATTAATTTACTTTTATTATTGATTTCATTTCGCAACATTGCAAAGACTAACGATTATCCAAAGAACTCTATTTCAATAGTTTATCACTTGTATAGGTTTTACTGTATTCGCTATACTAAATGCTAATAACGATATGTATGTTAAATACGAAGGTTTTCCACAATAGTGAATATCATGCTTGATTGGTTTCGTTCAGTTTACTAATCGGTACAAGAAAGCATTCAAAAAGGTATCAATATCTTACAGATAAACAGTTTTACAAACCATTTTATACTTCGCAAGAACTTATAGAGTCATGTTAAGTAAATCTGGTATTTTCTGAAAGATATAATCAGTGCTAAACATCAATGGAAAGATTCAAGTAAAACAATACAAAGTGAATTAAACTTCACCCTATTGCACAAGCAAGTGGCTATCGGGACTCAGTAGCTGAGTGGATAATGCGATGGCGTTTGAAGCGAATAGTACTAGGTTCGAGTCCCAGAGTGAACATCAACTCTGAGATGTAGGTACATCCAGCTGACGAGTCCCAAGTAGGACGAAACGCGAGTCCTGGATTCCACTGCTAGCCACTACCCATCCATCTTTGCTTATAATCATATTTAATGTTTTCACCGTCTAGGAAGTTTGCATGTGGTTACAAAATTTGATTCTCTGGATTTTAAAGTTCATCCAATTTGCTGAAAACACAACCGTAGTTCCTTACACTATTTGAATCTGATTTCAATAGAACCACTCTTGTCTGTGTTATATCCTAGTGAAGATTAAATTACGGGTAACTTCTGAGAACTATTGATGGACTAATATTATCTATACATTCTTATGGTATAACTACTCAATAATTAGATTATGTATATCTATATTCATCTTATTATAGGCTTCATTTTGACCCATAATTTATTATTATACGATTTACTGTTCTTAAGTTATGTTCAGTTAATTGATTACAGTCTCCCATATTCACAGCCACTTTTTGGCTTGACTATGTATAAATGTTATTTTCTATTTTATAGTGTAATATAGTCTGTTTGGCTAGTATATAAATCAAATATGTTTGAAATAAATGATTCGTATAGTGCAAGCTATTATTGGTGTTCTGGACTCAACTGATAGGGTTCTAGGAGGACAAAAGACCAAGAAGGACGCTAGGCTGTTCATACCGGTCGAATGTCATTGGCTTTTAGCACAGTTCTAAGATTAAATAAGTCGTATTTTGATTGACGAATAAATTACATGATAACTAGCTGGGCTTAAAGTCACAACAGTCTGTAACCACTATTCCTAGATATCACGGAGACCTCAGTCTACATCCAACAAAATAGCTAAAACTAACAGTTTATAACTTCATGAACTGATGCCATCTTCCACTTTCTTCTAACTTACTTCAGTATTAACACGCATTACTCATTGAGGTATGCGGTAGTTAAGCAATAAAAAGATTCTATATTTTCAGTAAATCAATCAAATAGGATTGTCACTTCCGTATTTTAAATTGATAAGTTAACAACTTTTCATAGGAGAATCAACCTTTACCAAGTCAGTTGATAAAAAAGAACAATAAAAAAAGGGATAGCGATAAGTCCCAATGATCGCCACTTAGTTAATCAGTCAATCAGTAACAACGTGGAACTTCGTACGTACGTACATCAGTCCAAGTTGCCATACCTACCACATTAGCACAGAGATTCAGTTATCGATTCAAATCCCATAGTAGTAGAGGTAGTGAAAGTATAAGTAGTGATAGGGAACATTAAAGTTTGATGATATTATTTAAGGAGGAGATAATCCAGTGGAATAGATTTGAAAAGAAAATAAAGGACACGAAGAATTCAGAAGATTAGAGTTTGAGAGAACACAAAGAGTGGATGCACTCGCGCTATTGCAAACGATTTTCAGCCATGTCATTCAGGGTCTTTAACCATTGGTTGCTATTGTCTCGCGGACCCCAACCAAGTAGTCTACACCTACCAACATGGCTCAGTACACTTGTCAGTGACTTCATGGATTTGTGCTATGTTTTGATCTGGCTTCCCCTAGCTTTCTTCCAACCTACTCCTACACTATAAAACACCGCACGTCGGGGCAGTCGGTGGTTGGGCATACGTAACACATGTCCCAGCTATCTCAACTGATTAAGTTTCACTACTTCATCAATTGATTTGCCATCCTTACCTAGTACGCGTTTCGTAACAACTGAGTTACTTGTTCGATGGTCCCAGGATATACGAACAATGTTTCGAAGACACCTATGATCAAATACTAGTAACCTACGAATATCCTCCACTCTTACTGGCCATGTTTCACTTCTATAAAGTAGGACGGAATGAACTGCTGCGCAGTAAACTCGTCCTTTGGTTGATAGACGGATATCTCGCCCACGCCACAAATGACGCAAGTTGGTAAAAGCTAGTCGAGCCTTCTGTATGCGTGCTGAGATTTCGTCACACACTAGACCACAAGGGTTGATGAGAATTCCAAGATAAGTGAAGCGGTCGACACGCCCAACTTCTTCACTCTCTATCACTAGTTCAGGTGCCGATGCAACCCAATCCAGAAGCAACATTTTGCATTTCAAGGGAAAAAATCGCATCCCGAACATGCTTGCATTGTTGCTTAGAGTGGTCAGTAGACTCTGCATTCTGTCAGCGTCTTCACGAAATACAACTATGTCATCGGCATATTCTAAATCAACAAGTGGATCTTCCGGTAGAAGTTCAACTCCTGGAAATTTAGATGAGGAAAGTGTCATCTCTAAAAGGACGTCAACGACAAAGTTAAACAAGAATAGAGAGAGTGGACAGCCCTGACGAACACCACTTGAGGTAATCAATTCTGATGACAGTTCGCTATAAGCTTTTACTCAACCTGTCATATTCGAGTAAAGAGCTTTTATAAGGTTAATGTACTTCATTGGTACTCCTTTCAGTAACAAACACTACCATAGAACAATAATAATATTGTACATTTATGAATGAAAACAAAGAGCATATTTTTAATGAATTAAAAATATATGTGTTTAATTCATTATTATAGAAAAGACTTAATTATTACAACTTATATAGGGTAAAATTAAAAAATAGTTTACTTTGAATGAATGAATGAATGGATGAATGAATAAATGAATCTTTTTTTTTTGTTTTAACTAATGAATATAATTTAAACAACTTCAATTAATTCTTGTGGTAATGAATTTTTTGGATGTTTATTTTCAAAATGTTGTTTATATGTTTTAACATCTGGTACTTGAGTTTTACACACAGGACATGTATAATGAAGTGCTTTAGCAGCAGCTTTTTTTGAATCTATAGATGGTTTCTTTAAATCAGCTTGCTTTTTAGCATTTCTTTGTTGACTTTGTATTTTTTGTTGACCACGTGCCATAATTTTTAATACTATAAAGAGAAAGGTAAATATAATAACATTATAGATAAGTTAAAATGTTATATTGAAAGTTGATAGCTGAAAATTTGTGTTTGTATAATATTTTAATGATGCCCTGGTAGCCCCCAAATGCCCTGGTACGGCCGAGAGTGGGGAGAGTCCGCTCTCCCATTCGAAATGCTCTCACATGACCACGCGTATATAGCCTCTGCCACGGAAGTCCTACTCACTGAATTCTCGCACCACGGGTGTTGTTTACAAAAATGAGAGGACGAAAAGCGAATGTCCGGCGCTTTAACCGGACCCCAAACCAATGGTGCACATGGGCTGGTTCCAGTATCCTGAAGGAACAAATGGCGTATGAACCAATCGTTGGTCACCGGCTACCATGGGACTGCATCTCCTCACGATGCTCCACTGCCTTGTGGGTCAGACGTTCAGGTCGAAGGCTCGGGGTATGGCCCCCTAAGAAAACCACCTGCTTCGGTTTGGGCACCCGGGCAGTATCACAGCCCTCACACAAATCAGTTGAGATTTGTGTGGCGCATATGTATTTGGTGCCTCCCTGTACCTATACCTATGTGTTAAAATAAATAAATAAAATAATTTGAAAGTTACTGAAAAATTAGTATAATGTAGTACTTGTGAATAAGACACATATTGAGGAAACCCTTTACATGGGAATCCTCAAGGCTAAAGGAAAAGAGAGAGACCAAAGAACACATTACGCCGGGAAATGGAGATAAACATGAGAAAAATAAACAACAATTGGATGGAACTAGAAAACAAGGTCCATGACAGAGTGGATTTGAGAATGCTAGTCGGCGGCCTATACTCCATTAGGAGTAACAGGCGTAAGTAAGTAAATAAGTACGTAGTACTTGTGAGGACTGATTATTGTTATTATTTGAACACAAATATTGGTAAACGTATACACCAATTACATATCCGCTACACAATAACAATGAGGTTGTGGAGAGATAGAGAATGTAAAGTACATATGATAAAAAGAACAACAATGAACAAGAATTAGTTAATGAGAGTGTAATAATAATGATAATAATGGCAGAAACAGTTCACTTATGAAAAATACAACCACAAAGATTTCTTTCACTTAAAGGAGTTACGTTTGCATTTATGAAGAAAGTAAAAGAAACTGACAGTACGATCGCCAATGGCTTTTATTCTCAAACATATCTGATATAGAGGATCCGCCTAGAGGAGTTGGAAAACCTTCATTCCTAACCAATGGTGCACATGGACTCCAGGATCCTGAGGGGACAAATGGCGTACAAACCTGTTGTTGGTCACCGAGATCTTATCTCCTAACGTTTCTCGACTGTCTAGTAGACTATACATCTAGGTCAAAGGCTAGGGGAGTAGTCCTCTGAAAAAAACTATCTGTTTCGGTTTGAGAGTCCGGGAAGTATCACAGACCTCAAACAAATCAAGTGTGGCATATATATATATATATATATATATATATATATATATATTTGGTGTCCCTCTGTACCGATGTTTGTGTTCAAATAAATAATGATGCCCGTCATATTAAAAGACTAGTATTTGAACGAAGAATATTCTTTTCGATAAATTCTCTTCAGGTTCTACAATTGTATATCCAAATTAATAATGCGAAAAACGGCCAGGTTAAGGGTAAAGTACATCGTTTAAAGCATGTGAATTTAGGATTGTGATAAACAAAATACAATGAAATTGTTAATGTTCATATTACTCATATAGAATGTTAACTTGAATCTGCGTATATGTTAAGTGAAATTTTAAGATCCACGATCAGAATAAATATGGGTCAAGTAGGGTGAGAGAAATAATAGTGCAATTACCATGAGTTCGAATCCCGCGAGCGGGATCGTGGATGCGCACTGCTGAGGAGTACCACAATAGGACGGAGCGGCCGTCCAGTGCTTCCAGGCTTTCAATGGTTGTCTAACATCAATTGTTTCGTGATCTCAATCAAAAGCTTAACAATCTCCACAGCCCCCAAACTGATAATTATCATTCGATCAAATAAGTAAGACGTAATAAGGAGGGAAGAATGCAAAGTGGATGAATCATGTATATGTGAAATTAATAATGATGTTTAACCAATAATACGAATAATAACAATAATACAAAGATTTATGAATAAAGATAACAGAGAAAATTACAACTGACTACGAAAGGTCATAGTGAAGTTACGTCATTCAATAGTTAAGATTACGATTGATTAATTGGCCTTCATGCTGGCCAGCGGAGGAGTGGTTGAATATATTTCTTCTGTACGCATAGCTCCGGTTTCGTCATCCGGATGACTTCTGCTTCAGCCGTTTGAAGGACTTTCAGTCTGACCAGTTTTGGCAAAAAATTACTGACCTTATAAATGATTAGTTTATACTGGCACTATGACCAGTTTGTACTAAATGGGCTAATATTGGGCTGTTCACTTTCTTCATCAAACCTTTGTTAAACCACGCTGAAAGGTGTTCACGAACACGAAAATGTGAATTCTTAGAACTTCAACCAATATGACTCGCTCCACAGGAGCAGTCGAACTGATAAATACAAAATGAGGTAGTCATTCTAGGTAATTCATCTTTTAGCCTCGGTGTAACCACTGGTAGCGTACAAAACACTAATCGCAGTTCTCCGGCGTTGAAAGACTTTTGTATTGTCTTACGTAATCTGTAAGTTAATATTTCACAAGCCGCATCCCCTCTGAATTGTAGACATACGAACAGGGATTTCTTCTTCACCGTTTGTATTTCGCCTATTTCCGCCTTCGTGATCATATATTTAGTTATAAACTTTCTAGGGTAGCCGTTCTCCCTGACAGTATTATACAAGGTGTTAAGCTCTTGTTCAACTATATCAGCAGAACAAATAGCGCGTATACGGCATCTAAGGATTTTGATTAAGTTTCGTTTGTACTGTGGAGGTACAAAGCTCAGAAAATGCGTATACTGCCTAGTCCATGTACTTTTTCTGTTTAAGTTCTTTTTTAACGATCCATTCCCTCTCTTAGTCAAGAGAACGTCCAGAAAAGCTATCCGGCCATCACTTTCTTCTTCAGATGTAAACTGAATGACTGGATGCACTTCATTAAATCGCTTAAGAACCTCTTGTGGTGACGAATTATCTTTACGGAGGATGAACGTGTCATCCATGTATCTACGGTAAAGTGGCGATCCATACAATCTCGGCAAATAGGTTCCTACTGGTTTAATCATTTCATATAAACTCGACGAGATGGTCAGTTGGTCCCTGAGCTTCTTCAAAGATCTGGTAAGCTCATTCTCTATCTTATTATTCAAATATTTCTGGTCAGTTATTTTTCGAAACTTTGATTTGCACTATTATTTCTCTCTCACCCTACTTGACCCATATTTATTCTGATCGTGGATCTTAAAATTTCACTTAACATATACGCAGATTCAAGTTAACATTCTATATGAGTAATATGAACATTAACAATTTCATTGTATTTTGTTTATCACAATCCTAAATTCACATGCTTTAAACGATGTACTTTACCCTTAACCTGGCCGTTTTTCGCATTATTAATTTGGATATACAATTGTAGAACCTGAAGAGAATTTATCGAAAAGAATATTCTTCGTTCAAATACTAGTCTTTTAAATAATGATGCTTGAAGACAATATACATGAATGAGAAACGATCGTAAAAAGAAAACTTTCATGTGTTGTAAAGGCTGCTACAATTCTTAAATCAGTATTAAAATCTGACTGGTTAGATTGGAGTAGAAACCGTATCTAGTTAAACCTAAAACGGTGGCTTTTTTCCAAGGTGTTGTGAAGCGGTGAATTAGTAACTAAGGAAATCGACTTCCGTACACAGGTTCGAATCCCGCTCCACCTAGTTTGGCTTTAGCAAATGGATGGTATTACTAGTCCTTACACTTCATACGTGGTTCATAAACAAATACCTAGTGAACGAGGTAATTAAATTTAAAAGATTACTTTGCACTTTAAAGTATCAATATTTGTCATCAAAAAATTATTTCTAATAAAATGGGACTAACAATGGATACGATAGATTTCAAATTATCTCTAACCCATGTCCGTTATGTAACATTTCCCGAAGTGAAAATCTGAAATCTGAAACACAAATCATGAATTGTCGTCCGGTTTTCTTTTTTCGCTATAATCATCTACTAATACTCATAATCAATGGTTGATGAAGTTACTTTTGATTGTACTGCGCAAAATTATTGGGGAGAGCTAAACGGCATAAAACATTTAACAATGACAACTAATATTGGATTCAGATAGAACGGAAGCTGAAGAAGTAATGGATAACTGGAGAAACAACAATACAAAGATTCAATACAGCGTTCCTTCAACATAGTGAAAAATTAAACTCATTCAAGATAACTCTCAACAACAAGTTCCATGCCTTATAAGATTTACTCAAAAAAGAGGAAACTGACATGGAGGACAACTAAAAAAAGATCAAATAAGCATTAAATTCAACGTGTTAGGAGGTTCTGAGCAGCAATAAGAATCATCATGAGGAATGGATCTCCATCAAAACCCTGGACAAGATTCAAAAAACGGAAGAACAAGAAGACGGCAATTAAAAACAGCCGAACAAGAACAAAGAAAGTCAAGAAAGTTCAAAAACCGAGATCAAATCGTTTACGTCTGGAGTTTCGTTTCTCGCATCGAGTAGTGAATTATTGGAATTCTCTACCAGAACACGTGATATCAACACCTTCTGTTGATATATTCAAGACTAGATTGGACCTCCACAGTATTACAAACTGCAAGGATTAATACAGGTCGATAGACCTATCCTTATTACTGAAGACTGAAGACCTTCCTAAAGCCGTCACTCCACCATTGATCGGAGAAATCAGCATGGCCATCAGACAGATCAAGAGTGGGAAAGCAGTAGGACCTGACAACATACCAGTTGAAACACTGAAGTCAGACATAACAGTAACTGCAAAGATCCTACACGTTCTGTATCGAAGGGTTTGGGACGAAGAACAAG